CCTTGTGTCACTGTGTTGGCGTGGCTCTCCTGAGGGGCCAACATGCCTGCTCAGCTCTGAGCACCCCAGGCAGGGGCTGTGCCCTGCAGAAGACGAGGGGACATCTCTCTTGTCCTTTCTGGGTCTCTTGTTCTCAGCAAGGAGCCCCTTCCAGAAACCCCTCGATCTGGCGAATTGCCCATGCTGGTGTTCAAACCAGTCCCTGGCCAGGGGCACGAGATGGAAGGCACTGGCTTGAGGAAGCCGGGTCAGGGTGAGGGGTGGCTCGCTGAACAGTCCAGGTTCCCTAAGGAGAAAGAAGGGGGCACGGCTGTTGGGTGGGCAGCCCAGAGTGTGCCTACTAAAGTGGCAATCGGAGTCAACCACAGCGGGCAATGAGCACACACACAGCCCACTAACGTTATGTAAGTTTGGAAAAGAAAAGATTCATCAAAAAATTTTTAAATAAAAAATACACACATGAATCTGGATCAGAATAGTTTCCCATCAGCCACAGGGAGGGTATTGTTTGCAACCATTCGCTCAAGGCAGGGTATTCATCTGGATCGATGACTTGAATAGCAGGTCAGGTCATTTCGGTTTGGTTTACTCTTTATTTCCACCAAACTGGAACATTCTAACATCCAAGAAATGAGAGCAGCCAGGGAATTCTTGATATTCAGATCAAACGCAACCCTGAGAGCAATGAAATATACTCTGCTCTGTCACACATTAGGTTGGTAAGTATATCACACACTTAAAAGCTGTAAGGTAGAATGTTTGATTTGGGAGGTAGCTGCAAATTAAAGCCGTTACCTTTGCTGTATATCAGTTACCTTTGCTGTATAACAAGCTACCCTGAAATTTAGTGGCTTAACACAACAATTATTTATTGAGCTCATGATTTGCTGGGGGCGGGGTCTTCTGGTGTAGCCTCCACTTGTCTGATCTCAGCTGGGCTCACCGGTCAGCCACCTGGCAGGTGGGCTGGGGGCCAGCTGGTCACTCACATGTCTGGCGTAGCTGCTGTGGCTGGGGCAGTGGAGGGACAGCCTCTCGTCACCAGGCAGACCAGCCCAGCTTGCTCACAAGAGCACAAGAGCAGAAGCTGCTTGGCCTGTTCAGGTCTGCCTGGGCTTGGAACTGGTACAAGCTCACTCTTGCCACATTGATCAAAGCAGGTCACAGGCAGTCCAGATCAGACAGGAGGGCCAGCAAAGTCCTGTGGCCACTATTGCAATCTACCCAATCTTGATCTACTCTTTGAAGACTTTTGGCTCCGAAAGGGGTTTCTTTAATTTTTGTTCCAAGACTTGGCATTGTTTTAAAATATGGCTTAATAAAAGCATGAAATTTTGGCTCTGGAGCGATAGGGTCAGGCCACTCAAGATTCTGAAATCACTTGAACAAACTCCTTGAAGTCAGAGAACTGGCACGCCCAGGTTGTGAAGAAATGTTTTCAGCCTGTGCCCTTGGTACTTGCACGTGGAAATGTCTTAGTGCCTCGCACAGCATGCTGAAAAACTCTCGTGGCCAGGGGTTGCAACCTGACTGCGCTCACAACTTGCACTATTCCTTTCGGCTCTGAGTGAAGATCAGGAGGCAAAGTGTTCACTGCTAACTGGTCTCTGGGGACATGTGGGCAAGGAGCCTGGCACTCGGGCAGTTCCTTCACTTGGGTAGCCAGGCCCTTACTTTACTATCTTAACCGTTTTTAAGTGTACTTGTCAGTAGCATTAAGTACATTCACGCTGTTGTGCAGCCTCCATCACCATCCTCTCCAGAACTCTCTTCCTCTTGCAATACTGAAACCCTGGCCCCATAAACACTAACTCCCCATTTCCCCCCTCCCCCAGCCTCTGGCAACCACCATTCTACTTTCTGTCTCTGTGAGTTTGACTACTCAAGGGATCTCGCATAAGTGGAATCATAGTATTTGTCTTTTTGTGACTGCCTTATTTCACTTAGCATAATATCTTCAATGTTTATCCATATCGTAGCATGTGGCAGAATTTCCCTCCTTTTTAAGGCTGAATTTCCTTTGTGTTTTCACCTGCTCATAGACACTTGGATTGCTTCCACCTTTTGGCTATTGGGAACAACGCTGTTATGAATATGGTTGTACAAAGACCTCTTCAAGTCCCTTCTTTCAACGCTTCTGGGCATATACTCAGAATTACTGGATTGCATGGCAACACTATTTTTAATTTTTCAAGGAACTTCCATACTGTTTTCCACAATTTTACATTCCCACCAACAGTGCACAAGGGTTCCAGTTTCTCCACATCCTTGCCAACGCTTGCTATTTTCTGGTGTTTTTATTTACTCATTTATTTTTGTTAGTGGCCATCATAGTGGGTATGAGGTAGTACTTCATTGTGGTTTTGATTTTCATTTCTCTAATGATTAGTGAAGTTGAGCATCTTTTCATGCGCTTACTGGCCATTTGTGTAACTTATTTAGAGAAATGGCTGTTCAATTCCTTTGCCCGTTTTGTTTTGTTTTTATGTTCTTTATTAGAGGCAGGGTATCACTATGTTGCCCAGGCTGGTCTTGAACTCCTGGGCTCAAGTGATCATCCCACCTTGGGAGTACAAGGATTACAGGTGTGAGCTACCTGCCATGCCTGGCCTCAATGAAGCATGTTTTAAGTCACTGATTTATCTGGGATTGAAGATTCAGACAACACAATAACAACCACCTCTTTCCTATGGGCAGTCATTATCCTGACTTTGGAATTTATCATTCCCATGTATATTTTCATACATGTACAACATATGTATCCATAAGCACAGATATGCTTTATATAACGCTTTCTATGAGGTTTTAAAACTTCATATAATGGCTGGGTGCCATTATATACACCTGTAATCCTAGCGCTCTGGGAGGCCAAGGCAGGAGGATTTCTTGAGGTCAGGAGTTTGAGACCAGGCTGAGCAAGAGCGAGACCCCGTCTCTACTAAAAATAGAAAAAATTAGCTGGGCATGATAGCACATGCCTGTAGTTCCAGCTACTCAGGAGGCTGAGGCAGGAGGATCCCTTGAGCCCAGGAGTTTGAGGTTGCTGTGAGCTAGGCTGACGCCACGGTACTCTAACCCAGGTGACAGAGTGAGACTCTATCTCAAAAACAAAAAACAAAAAACCCCTTTATGTGACGCATCATTTTGTAGGTGTCCTTCCGTATCTTGCTCTTTTCACACATCATTACGTTTCTGAGATTTATTCACCATGATACTTGTAACTGTAGGTCACGCATCTTTAACTACCTTAGAGTGAATTCAGGGCTGGGTGAATATATAAAGTGTCTGGTAGTTGAGGAACACAAGGTTGTGTTTCCACTATGAGCATGTTTATTCTTTTTTCCTCAGGCTTGGTTGGGGCCCATCGTCACCATCACCATCATCAATGACGAAGCACTTACTGTGCTGCCCATGAGCCGGGCCCAGCTTCCCTCTTCCAGAGGCTGTGACAAAGTCCCTTGTCAAGGTCATGTGGAAAGGGGCTGAGAGTGGATTTGACCCAGGTCGCCTGATGCCGAGCTCTGTGCTCCGAGCCACTCTGCTCTCTGCCTCCCCAGGAACAAATGCCTGCTGTCATTCCGAGACGCCTGTGCAGGGCCCTCCCCTCGGCAGGCTCTGCTGAGACCCCCAGCCTGGCCCAGGGCCTCTGAAAGGCAGAGTGACCAGCTGCAGCTCACGGGCCTGTCTTGGTGTCAGGATGGCTCAGTTAGTGATCCAGCCTTCGGGCTGTTCTGAAATTCCCTGCCCCTCTAGGCATACTTAACACCATTCGGGACATTTTGGAGGAATGGGCCGCAGGCTCCATCTGTGCTATGTGACGCAAGAGAACCAGGACTTTGGCCAGGAGCACAAGGGGCCGTGCTCATTTGCTCTTGGGTGGCAGTGAGGGCGGAATGGAGAGGGTGACAGATGAAAGCCTGGACAGAAGATGTCAGAAACAACCAGGGAGACTAGAAAGACACTCCCATGGGCCTGGAGGGACAGATGTCCCTGGGAAGAAGCAGCAAACCACTGACTTTGCTTTAATGTGAATCAGTTCAGAACAATTTACAATTTAAAAGTTCCAGTCCTGGATGTCATTCCAAGGCATTTGGGCCACTGGTGAAGTAACTACTGATGTGAGACCATGGAGGTCTGCCGCTCCCCAGAGTGAGCTTTGTGAGTTTCTGCTTTTCTCTGAGCCTCAGCTTCCTCACCTGTAAAATGGGAGAGGACTCACCTAACAAAGGTACGTGAGGGGCCTGGCATGGTCACTAAGTGGTCACCGTCATCATTACCTCCTCATGAGGCATGTCTCGCCAGACCACAGCAGGGCTGGGGTGGTGCAGATTCCACCCCTGGCCTGGCGTTGTCAGGTTTCTCAGTGCTGTGAAGGACATAAGGATTTGAAGCAGTGACGGGGGACAAAAAAGTAGAAAACAGCAGTTCCTACAAAGAGGCCCATTCCCCTGGGCCCAGCATTCCAGCAGGTTTCCTGCATGGCCTCGACCCTTACTTAAGGGTCCACGCTGCTAGCTGGGCCAACCTCATCACAGTCTCCCTGGGTCACAAGCAGGTTCCAAAACAAGCAGGACACACACCAGTTTCCAACCTGGAGAGAAGCTCACTACACGTGCGGGCTGGATGGGATGGCAGCAGGCGCACGGGACAGCAGTGACGCTGAGGAAGTGACCTCACTGCATGACCTGAATATGCAGGAGCAACCCACTTGAGTAGGGAGCATCCGCAGAGACAGAGCCCTGCGGGTCTGCGCCAGAGGCCCCACAGAGGAGAACTGGGCAGTGGGAGAACTGCCTCAGCCCTAGGCGACGCCCTGGTGCTGCTATAGGCCCAAGACACGCTTCGTGGATTGTCCCCAAATGTGAGACAGCTACTAATGCAAGTGATGGCGACTTGGACCTGGGGTCCAAGCCACAGCCGGGGGTAGCCGGCCCCCTTGCAGTGAGTACTGCGGGATCTTCTCCTTCCACTCCCCCAGAGTAAGAACAGACCAGGAGGCACCCCAGACACCGTGAAGGGACACTGACTTCTGATTTCTTTATTTATTAGACTCAAGTGCTTTAGTACAGAACGGTACAGAGATGATACATGTTTGTGCTTCAATACTTTCAAACATTGAGATTCTGATAATTTCAAGGTAAACAAGTTTCAAGACAGACTAGCTTTTTTAAAATATCCTTTTGATAAATTATTTTTATATAAATAACAGAGAAAGGGAAACCAACTTGTTGGACAAACAAGGTCCCGAAGCACGAGCACTGTTTGGTCCGAGGGAGGGGACGAACGAGCAGAGGGAGAAAGAAACAAACCAACGCAAGCGCCTACAGTTCTGTCCTACAGAAATAAGATATCTTAGGAGGGAGGGAGACAGAGGGCAAGACCTGAAAACTCATCTGAGTGCAAAGGGGAGATCTCGAAGCCTTGAGAAGAGAACACCACGATGCATCTAACGGGAGGGTGGGGAACAGACCAAGGAAGGCGGCGGCGCGGAGCTAGCATACACCACGGTTGCAACACGGCACGAGACACGTAATATACACACGGGCTGCAGGAGGCCGAGGGCGGCGAGGGGCTGGGCAGGGGACATTTTTTGTGACTTCCACTGTCATTATATTTCGAGACAACAGCAGAACAAATGGTGTGCTCACCACTGGAGAACAAGAACTGCTGAGTCTTGAGGATGAGACATCCTTCTTGCGTTTGTGTCTTTAATTTTTGCATTAGAGCTAAGTTTTTATACAGCTAAGTTTTTATACAGAGAATAAAATAATCATTTTCTCTTACAAGCACAATGACATATGACCCTACACTACACAAAATAAAGTATTATGAAGCATCTTAAACTGAGGATAATCTGACCAAAGTTGCTTGTGGAGTAGACACAGGGTCTGCATAAACCCAACAGGCTGTCTTCAGGCTAAGAACCTTCTCCACGCCAACGGCCCTCTGACCAGGGGCCTCCAGACCCATCTGTTCTAGTCCGTTCCTGACCCTTGAACTAAGGTTGAACCTACTGAGGAAACTGAGCTGTTAGGGGTGACACCTGGGGAGGGAGGGCTCTGGTCAAGAGATCAGGTCTAATTGCTTCTCCAGAAGAGGCAAAGGTCTCTGGTGGGAGTTTGCTTTTTACTTATCTGGGCACCGTGATGCTGTCTGGAGAGGGACTTCCCTTGGGATCCCAGCACTGTGGACACATGCCAGGGAGGGAGCAGGGACAGGCTGTGGAGGAGGGGATGCCAGCCTGGCTTCACGAGGACACCCCAGCCCCCAACCACAGCCGTACCACCAGGGACATGCTGCTGGGAAAAGTGAAGAGGCCTGTTCTTTAACTCTCACGAGATGTCCCCTGATGGTCACTTCCGGCGGGTGTGGATGGGAGCAGGTACCGAGGGGTAGGACTGGAGTGAAGACAACAGATCAATCCTCAGTGTGAAATACTCCAGGAACACAGACATATCTCTACGATTCCCAATGAGAACAGGAACAATCCAAAACCAGTTTTTAAAAACACTCAAACTTCTACCTTTCCATACTCAAGCAATTTGCACATGTCGCATAGGGTTATGTACAAGGTCACAGAATCATAAATAACAGGGAGAAGGTGTCCATTCACTCTAAACAGTTCAAAAACTTCTCCTGCAGTGCGTCATTTGCACATGAACCTTTCCTTTTAGGATATATATACAAGATACTCTTTTTAAAAAACACAATGCATTATTTTCTTTTGTTTCAAATGAGAAGAGGGCGTCATTAAACAGGAGAACGCAGCGGGTGACAGTGCCGGCCAGGACGTGCAGGGCTGGGGAGGCAACAGACGGAAAGTCAGCAAAGTAACCGAGGGGCAGGATAGGGAGCCGCAGAGCACTGCGGGGAAAGGGGTGTGTTTGGAGGGGCGGCTTATTTTTTTAACTGCTTATTTCTTCATCTGTTTTATTCAGTTTCTTCAGCGTGTCCAGCAGTTTCTGTGGGGTGAGAATGTGCGTGGATCCTGGGGAGGCAGAGAAGACAGTGAGCCAGCCAGTACTAAGTGCAGACACGTCCCCTCCTGCTCCTCCACTCCCAATGGCACCATCCCCTCCCCCACCCTGGATAGGGTCTAGTGGAAGCAGGGAGGGGGCTGGGGGTTGGGGCTCATGGCTCTGTCACAATAGGCCTGGGCAACATGTGGGGTCCCAGGCTGTACCAAGGAGTGAGCCACCTCTCCATCAGGGCCCAGAGCCATCTGCTAGGTGATGGGGCAGCTGCATTTCTAACTCTCTCTTGAACTCAAGGTGAAGCCAGGGAGAGAAATTCCAAGCATGGCAGTGAGAAAGGTTGCAAATGGGGCAGGGGCCGGTAGGGGGACATGGTGCCCAGTAGAGAGGAAGCTGATGGGCAAAGCCCCCGGGGAATCCACTGACCTCTGGGAACCAGTGGAGTGGCGCTGCCCTCGTGGGTGGGACCTCAGGTGTGAGAGGGAAAGGGCCGGGGGACCTGAGGCCTTACCTTGCAGAGACCGCACATTGTAAGAGACTAGAAATGCTTGCAAAAATTTAAGCTAATGGAATATAGATATACTTCTACTGCAAAAATAAAAAAATAAAAAATAAATAAATGAAGGCCTTTTTCATACGGCGAGAGAGATCTAAGAAGTGCAGTAAAAAAAGATGCATGGACTGTGTGGTTTTTGGACATGGACTTGATCAAACAGAAGAGAGGTGACTGGGGTGGTGTGTGAGTGAGCATGAGGCCCGCACGCACGCATGCAGCAGCAGGCTCCAAAGAAAGGTCCTGGTGGGAGAGAAGAACTAAACAAAAGAGACCCGTACTTGAAAATGTGCCTCCCTGGAGAGGTGGGCAGGGGATGGGCCTTCGTGGGAGTTAGGAAGTGGAAACCACCGGATGCCAGTTTCCACCCCAAGAGTAGGCAAAAGAAGGCTTTGGCTGGCTCACTGGGCATGACTCCAATACCAGGGTCCCTATGCCTTTGACACTACTTGCTCAGCTGACCTGGGACTGCTGGAACATGGGCCTTCCTGGTCAGTCCAGACCAGCAAAAAACTTGTAAAGCCCTCACTCGCTCAAGGGGCTTCTTCCAAGATCCCGTTCTCTGCAGTTCAAGCCCAGCTGCCCACTGGCTGCTCTGAGTGAGGAATCAGAGTATCCCTGGCTACTTCCCAGGGACACCAAGCACGATGCCCTGAGCAGGCAGCCTGCACCAGCCTCTGTGGTCTAAAGCAGACTTGTCATTCTGCCGATCTTAGGCTCCTTAAGCACATGTGACGCAGGTTTCAGGAGTGTGTCCCTGGGCGCTGTTATAGCGCCCCTTTCTGCTGAAGTCCACTCATTCCTGTGACCTTGCCAATCTTCCTACTAGTCCTAAAGGAGGTCAAAGGTTTCTGTGCAAATGAGGGAAAAGGACAGAAATGTTACGAGGTTTGCCTCAGGTCTGAAGAGTGAACCATTGCCAGGATGAGGGCCTTCCCCATCTCAACTCGACACAGCCCGTGAGTCTAGACAGACACTGAAAGACGGCCTCTCACACAGAGTGTGGGTTTGGCTTGGGCCTTCCTAGTTAAGGCAACAACAACCAGTGCACAGACAGAGAAAACAGCACCTAACGCCCTCATCCCTGGCCATCCGACTGAGTTCCGGGAAACAAGAAGGTAGACTCGATTTAGAGGAAAAATCAGAAGGGGTTCTGCACAGCTGCTACCTACCCCAAAGTGCTCCCTACCCTTGCTTGTATACAAATTCAGGATTTGGGGGAGGCCAGGGGATCCATGTTCTAGAAGTTTCTGATATTATCTCATCACTGACCATCAGTGTTCCCAGTCTTGACTGAAGAAGAAAAATTCTAGGACTCAGTGTTGGAGACAATCAGTGAGGCCTCTAAGACTCTTAGCAACAGGCATGTTTCTGGGCTGTCACTTACCTGTGCTCTTTAAAGGGACCAGACTAGTTGGCATTAATCCAAATCACCTGAAAGCCAATTCCTGACACGCAATAATCTGTATTGTTTCAGTAACATTGGTCAAGCTTTTCACCACTATAAACACTGCAAGTTGAGCTGGAGAGTCCCTAATCCACATTTTGCAAGTGTTCTCACTGTGGATGCACAGGCGGCTGCCCACACTGGTCTTCCAGGACAGGGCAGCAAGTGGGCTCTATTGCTCTGAGGGACCCCTTTAGTACACATAACTGGAAGATTATGAACTGTGAACAGTGGTCCCCAAAAACTAAATCGAGGCCTCGCCAAATGACTGTCCACATGTTTTCGAAGCTGTGGGCCAGACACAGCAAGTTCTCATAGGTCAAAATCCTTTCTACACTGACAGAATCTGAAAAATCAAGAGCTCTTACAGACTACAGGTCTAGCCACTGCTGAATTTGGCTGAAACAGATCTACTGACTCACAATACCCAGGGTGGTGCAGGAGAATGCATAAGTTAAGAGCAATCCAGGTGAGTGTGATATTCAGCCAGGTTTGGAAAGCAGAGATCTGGCCACTCTTCCCATCCAACAGATGGGAAAAATGCAGAATGAAGGCCAGGCTAGTCGGGTATCTGCTCAGGGTGGGAGGTGGCACAGCCAGGCCCAGCCCTCTGGGCTCTCGATTCTGGGCACCTGTGGCCCTGTTGAGGGGCGGGGTGGGGCAGGATGAACAAGTGGATGCTTGAAGAGGAGTGGGCAATAGTCAGACTCTGAATTCATATTCAAATCTGAGTCCCAGTGAAGGAGGAAACTTACCTGACCCCAATCTGGAAGAGAACTAACTATTCAATATAAAATCATGAAAACTTTCTCCCAAATGGTCGATGTAACGCAATGGCTCTAATCTAGCCTTTTAGTTCTCTCTCATTTGCTTCTGACAGCCTCTTGGACACTCCCCGATGATTGGTGCTTTTAACATAAACCAACTGGAGCACAGAGGTAAAAATCTAATCAAAAGATTTCATTTCTTAGAAATTTGGAGGGATGATTAGTGGCGATTAAGATGAGACTTGGTGTTACCCAGACCCTGGGAGCCTCAGCTACAAGAGGGAGCAGAGGCCAGAGTGAGGTACCATCACCCGTGTGCCTGCTGGGAACACTCGCATTCGCTGCTGGGCAGGAAAACTCAGCCTCTCTTAAGAGAGAAGTTGCCACGATATGGGTATTTAGGAGAAAACGCATCTCTCTAAGGTTCTGCATTGTTCTGGACTTCAGTCGCCTGCGCGATTACAACAGAAGGGAGCAAATCAGGTTTCAATCTGCTTCTGACCTCACTGGTATGAGGGCTCTGTGCCTCACTTCTTCTTAACTGCACTCTCTAAAATCCAACACTGCCCTGCAAATTATTTCAGAAGCCAAGAATACACAACCAGTGCCTTTTTGGTCTCCCTCTGTTCTGATGGCAGCTGAGACCCCCTCTGCTCATCAAATATAAAACAAAGGAATATACTCTGCGAAGGAGACATTTCTGAAGCAGGAAACCCCAGAATTGATCCTAGCAGGAGCCCTTGGGGTTTGGGTTTGTGATTCTTTTAGATCCTACAAGTGGTCTGCGATTACTGTAGTCTTGACTGAGCATTTATTTGTCCTTCTAGAAGTCTTAAAATACATCTTGCAGCAAAGGCTGTCCACCTACCTGCCATATGCACACAGAACCAGATGTCTCTGATTAACAACCTATCAAGGTGCTTCCAAGGAATGATTTTTTGTTTTTTTTAAACAATTGCTTTTATTAACCACCCATGGCCTTGCTTTCTAGGGGAAAGCAAGCCCAGGCAGGATAGCAGCTGTAGCCCAGGGCCATAACCAGGTACACTTCCCTTGCTCCCAACTACTTGCTGTCCCTTAGCACACTGCTGCACTGGAGTATGCCATTCCCTGCCAAGGAAGAGAGAGGGGAGGAGATAAACTGGCCTCCTGTTCCTGCCTTTAGGGCGCAGCACCGGTTTCTTTATATAAACAAGCACATTTCTGATGTTATCTAGCCAAGGCTCTGACGGGCCATTCCCCTGATGCTCACCAGAAAGCAAGAGTGGATAGGATTGCATGGTTTGACGCACAAACCTGAATCACTGAATTTACAGACTGTCAGAGCTCACAGTCCTGGGGGCACTGTGATCTAGCCTCCCTGTACAGGTATGCTGTGGCCCAGAGAGTGGGGGTGACGTCCTACAGCTGCACAGGCGCTCAAGGAGGAGCTGGGGTGGAGGCCAGTCCTTCTGGCTCTGTGTGCAGGTCTCTCTCCACTGTTCACAGGGGACTCATACTCCATGACTCACTGGGCCACATCTCAGCTCAGGTGAAGGGGCATTTTCAGGGTCCCCTGTTAATGGTGTATACAAAGTCAGGTACACAAAATGTGGCCTCAACACAGAATATATAACAAAGCTAAGGAATTGCTAATGCTATGATGGAGTGGGTTGGCATCAGCCTACAATTTAAACACAGTATAGGAGTTTCCCAACATATATGAAGGATGGGAAGAGAGAGGAAGAAATGAGGATGGTTTTGAAGGAAAAAAATTTGGATAGTTACCAGACAATGGGTTCCTGGATAACAAACTTGATGGGAGAGAGAAGATGCTCTTTAAAACCACACAGAGTGCCAAGAAAAGATTTCTATGAAAAGGGTCTCAGACATTACCAAGAGACTTCAGTGAGAGAGAGGGGTGTGACTACTCAACTCTTGAAAGGACCCACAGGAGAATGAGAAGGAATGCAATTACCAAAAGAGCAAATGACTGTTAAGTGCCGTTTTCTGCAGAGGAACATGAGACAAAAGCTCTTCCCACTGAAAACTGGAGTTCCCCGGCACATGGTGGCTTGTGACCCGATAACCCTTTAGAACTTGTTCCTGGGGACATGCCTATCCCAGGAAAAAGCTAGTCGCACATCTAACTACTATTGATCTGGGTCTATTCCGATGCTCCTTTGCAAGCTTTCCTGACAATAGGCGCCCATGGGCATCTCCACCAGATGCCTGCCTTCTTGGACTTGGCCTTCCCCGAACATCCGCTGACCTCACTCTCCAGCTCTCACGCCTTGTCATAACCAGGACACTCTACGTTCCCAGAGGGGACCCATAAATTCACCCCTGGGCCAACAGGCTTGGGCACTGTGCCTCAGCCATCACGCAACTGCAGCTCCCTCTCTGAGGACTGTTCGCAGCAGTCACCGTCATTTTTGGTTTAAACCCAGCAGCCTACACCCGTCTGGCTGAGCAGCGAGTAACCCAAGGCATGAGTGAGCTGGCATGTCAGAGCCCGGGGGGGTTGTGGTAGGATTGTGAAGGCAGCGTTGGACACATTTTCAATCGGTGTTAAGAACTGCAAGCATTTTCTTGTTAAAAGAAAATCAAATAAATAATAAACTAAAAAGGGAAAAATAAAGAAAAAGAGTGACGGAATAACCAAAGAAAACCCTTCAGAGTGGAAGAGTTTCTTTTCTGAAATAAGCTGCTTTTACTTTGTTTCTTTGGCTCTCACTCCATTGTTGGAGCCTGATCCTCAAAAGATACCCTAGAGGACTCCCTGAAGTCGGGGTGTCTCAGGTCCATGAGAAATTTGGTGGGAGTAAGAATATGAGTAGAACCTGCGGGAGAACAGAGGCCAGCTGACTGCTTGAACAAAGGTACGTTACAGGAACATGCCAACTTAGGCCTACATTTTACGCAGCCAATGAGGTATGAGCAAGCAAGACAAACACGCACGCACATACACCACACACACAGGCGGCAAGGCAGATGGCATGCACGAAGCAGGTGAGGCCACACAGTGGACGTCAGCTGTCTGCCAAGGCCCCTCCATGAATCTATGTGGGCAACTTCACACTCCCATGTCTCCACCTCCCACAGGGGGCCTCACTTCAGGTCCATAAATGAAGACGAAGATTTATACTCAAAGCCTGGGTAGGACAGCTTCTGCCCAGGAAAGCTGTGTTTGGGCTCAGAATTATCCAACACATTCATGCAGCACATATGCAAGCAGGAAGCAGAGGGCTTTGTCACTGGGGCCTACATAACAACGGGAAAAAAAAAATTACAGAGAAAACTGGTAACTGGACAAGGGAAGCTTGAGGAAGCTGGGTGGGGATGTATAATCTCCCCACTGGACTGTGGTATCAAGAAGGCGAGTTGGCAGCTTCAGGTCCATCTTGGTAAACCCAGAACAGTCATATGGACTAGTCTATGGAGACTGCTTGCTTGGATAGTTTGGGGGACACTGTGACTTGGTCACCCCACTTTGGAGGTATAAAACTGACACTTGTTACCGAGATAATGACTCTGCCTGGGATTACGACCAATAGTGAGCACCTACAGGGAGGGGTCAGAGAAGCCTTCCCAGCTGGGGCAGCTCAAGGCCTCTGCCTGTAACAGCTCATGTGTGAATGGTCTGAGAAGCAATCCTTAGGCCCTGGAGAGTATAATCTCCCACTGGGCGCAGAGCACATCCCCTTCCAAAGGGAGACCAAGAACCCTGGCGTCATGCCTCACTCAGCATGAACATATTCCCACTGGGGGCAGAGCCCAGCCAGGGCAGTGTATGTAACAGCCTCTTGCCAGACAGTGTCAAGAGGGACCCCTGCCCAGGCAGGCGCCACTCTGTTTCTTTAAAGGTAAGACAGGACAAAAAGGAAAGCATCTGGAGAAAGTAAGATTTTTCTCAGCTAACTCTTCCTCTTCCAGCCCTAAAAATTATATTAATAGAAGCTGCTAACGGCGTGGAAAAGGAGAAAAGCCTCCTGCCACATTAAACCAGCTCCACGAGTTGCTTACCCTCCTTTGGGAAACTAACAGGATGTATGAGAAAGGGTATGGCAGACCTAGGGGTGGTAGGAACTAGTGCAGGGACCTGAGCAGAGCCCAGCAGCCAAGCCGGGAGGTTTCAGGCAGTATCTGCTCACAAGCTGTCTGTCCATCTCCACCTGGGTGGAGGAGGAGGGTGATAATCTACCCACTATCCACTGTGTGTTCCTGGGCATGAGGCCCAGTGCCAAGAAACTGATAATCTCATCTCAGACTGAGTTCAAGGCTATAAGTGTGTGCTACTAACCCCAAGTTGTTCGGCAAGCAAATGGCAGTTTGGAGAGTTGAGTTACTTGCTCAAGGTGACCCCACTGGGCAGTAGCAGGGCAGAAATTTTAGCCTGAGCCAGCTGGACTCTATGATCAGGCACAGATCATGGTGTTGCCTTTCAACAGGAGACACAGTAGGGCACATGTGAGGACCCTCTGCTCCTTAGCTTCTGCCATCCACAGTTTCCTAGAGACTAAGTTTTGCAGGGGCAACAGAGAGTCTAAGACAGACCGCAACACCAAAGCGTGGAATGGAGTCAAAGTGCGATGAGGCAGCTCCTTCCTCTAGGAAGCGTGCGGACTCACCTATCAGCACCTCCCACTTTCCATTGGCTTGGGTCACCTCGTAAGCACAGCGCATCTCATTCAGGCTCACGCCCCCAAGGATGAAAATGATGAGGCGGGGGCCGCTGCGGTACTCCCCTGGGGCCTTATTCTTATGCCAGTGCCCATAGCGGGCGCTGAGGGGGGAGAGAGGGAGAGAGAGAAAGAGAGAGAAATTACGTTTATCTGCACTTACAGTACCTACTGTTTCATACCTCAGTGGCTTGTTTACACCTATGCCCAAAACAAAGTAGATGCTTAGTAAGTGTTGGCTAAATTTAACTGCAATGCATTTTCTTTTAATAAAGATGGCTCTCACTCTGTCACCGAGGCTGGAGTGCAGTGGTGCAATCATAGCTCACTGTAGCCCTGAACTCCTGGGCTCAAGTGATCCTCCCGCCTCAGCCTCCTGAGTAGCTGGGACTACAGGCACACGCCACCATGCCCATCTGAGGTCACCAAAGCAATGCAGTTTTCAAGTGGCTCGGCTGCTGGGAGAAGAATCACTATGGGTGCCTGTGCTGTGACCTTGTTACTCTCTAAGAAACATACAGGCAACAGACAGGCTCTGTTCAGCTCTGATGTTTGACATGTCAAGTTCAGCAGCTTTACCCCGTAGGATGCTCATTCAGGCATCTACTCCAAATTATGAACATCTCTGAGCTTGTCGGGGTCATTGCTGGCAGTGCACAGTGATGGCAGGGTCTAAGATCTGCCTTCAGGCTGGCACACTGACTCCCTGAATAAACATACCGAGTGTGTGCTCTCATGGGCCAGGACCTCCCTAGCACCGCTTCCAGGGGAGACACAGGCCTTGCCCACCAAGAAGTTGCAGTGTAATGGGGTGGGTGGGTAGAAGGAAGCAGGTTTACTATGATGAAGAGCTCAGTACCATGGGGCTGAACACGAGGGAGCCAGGGAGCCCTGTCCAGGATCACTGCAGAGGCTTTTGGTGGCACCGAGCTGCCTCCTGAAAAACATGGCATAGCCAGGGAAGAAGCTGTGGGGCTGCTCCTGGAGAGGCCTCCCTGTGTCCCTGGGCTCCCCTCACCAGGTCTTTACCTTTGACTCAGAGACAGAAGAAGTGGGTTGCTTTTAGGCAAAGAAAACAGGACAAATACAACAAAGGGAGCAAGTCTCCTCTGACCACTGAAATGCTTTGCCCTTCTTCCTGACTTATGACAGCATTACAGTCGCTTTCCTAATCTGGGAGGCACCAGGGGGGACTGTCTGAGCCAACAGAGAATCTCACATTCATTTTCTTTCCATGTGCGATCATTTGATATTCTGTGATTGTCGACCAGCCTGGCTGGCGCAATACTTGGGATTCTGTATTTTACTCCAAGTTTAGCAATAAACATCTCACCTCTGCTGCCATCAGAGGGGCTGTACAATAACACAGGATGCCACCACAGGTTGCTGGCCCAGGGCCAGGAAAAGGCAAAAAGTAAAGACAGAAAGAGGAGGAGCAAGAGGGAAGACAGGCAGGAAAAGCACAAGAGGAAGCACAAAGAGGTATGTATCCCGAGACGTCACTCCAGGAGTGGGAATGTCACAGTCATGGTGCTGGGGTCGCCCTCTCTGAAGCTGCTAACTCTGTTGCCCCAAGCTCACATGTTCAGCCCTGACTGTTCTCAGGAGCCATTTTATGGATATACCACATTTTATTTATGTACTCATCAGTTGGTGGACACTGGGCTGTTTCTACGCTTGGGCTATTATGAATAAAGCTGCTATGGACACAGTGTACTGTGATTTCAAACAGGGTGGTTAGGGAAGATCAAAGAAGGTATGGCCTTATTAAAAACCTGAAGGAGATATGAGACAGGCCACGTAGATATTTCAGACAGAGGAAAAAGCAAGTGCAAAGGTCCCGAGGCAGAAGTGGGCCTGGCTGGCTGAGGAAGAGTGAGGAGGCTGAAGTGGAGAGGGGAAGGCAGGGGTGAGGAATGAGTCTGAGAGCAAGAGGAAGCTGGAGGGGGAAGGCCCATGAGGCTTGGCCGGCGCTCTAGCTGTGAGGAGCAACAGCAAGAGCGTTCTCATGGACCACGCTGCCTCATGGCGTGACTGCCACAAAGCTGACACCCAGAGATGGTCCCATGTGCCTCCCTTGTTTGCTCAGGGATTTTCACCTACCTGACGGCGGTCGTACTAAAAGAGGCAGAGGAGCGGGTGGAGATGTAAGGGTAGTGCTTGGTATCAAGTTTGTCCTCAATAGTGTCCTAGTGAGGAAAGAGACAGATGTTAGGCCTACCATCTAAATGAAAAGGCTGACCAAGACAAGGTGATTCAAAGAACAAGTCAGTTAGCAAAACACATGGCCAGATTTGCAACCACCAGAGCTCCCTTCCCGGATGCCCCAAAATGCTTGGCACTGACCAGTGCTCCCTAACTGGCTGTCACATTGAGATAAATTTGTAGGTCTGCTTTTTAAGAGAAGTTTTTTTAAAAAGCATTAATTTTTCTTGCTTCTCTCCCAATTTATTCTCTTGTATCATCTATGTGAGGTTATAAATGTTATACTCTAGCCAATAAATTCCTGATGCCTGCCCATCAGCCTTGCAGAAACTAGGCAAAGCAGGGTCTCTCCTGCAGTGGGGAGCCTTAGCCCCTCAGCTTTTCAAGGGTCTATGTGGTGGGTGGATACCCACTATCCACGCCCTGCTGCCTAGAAATCCACACTGCTCCTAGCAGCTACCAGATGACGCCTACACATGTCTCGTCTGGGGACTGCAGAGAAAAAGGAAGTAGAGAACAAAGGAGGGGATAAAACAGAAGGGTTAGCTTTATCTATTCCACCAAGCAAAGAAACGGTTGGTTTCTAGACATCTCACTTTGCTCATCCTTTTGGTTTGTGCGTTTTAAAAATAGGAAGCTGACTCACTCTATATGTTTAAAATATGTACAACTCAGTAGGAACACCTGGGCTGCTAGGAATCAACTACCGGATCCTGGGCAAGTCCTTCAACCTTTGAACCCCAGTTTTGTTTGTCTGTCAAGGGTGGAATTTGGTCAGATTATCTCCAGGTCCAACCTCAAAGATCTAGCAGGATTCTACGCAGGGTCTCCTCCCACTGCAAGGAGAGAAGGGAGCGACCCCAGAGGGCTGCTGTGGTGCTCACACCTTCTGCTACCTCACAGCCAACACCTGCTGTGTGTGCAGCTCTGCGCAGAGCACCCAACAGTGGAGGGGACAGGACCAAGGTATAAAAAGACCACCCTTGGCCGGGCATGGTGGCTCACGCCTGTAATCCTAGCACTCTGGGAGGCCGAGGTGGGTGGATCGTTTGAGCTCGGGAGTTCAAGACCAGTCTGAACAAGAGTGAGATCCCGTCTCCACTAAAAATAGAAAGAAATTAGCTGGACAACTAAAAATATATATATAAAAAAATTAGCCAGGCATGGTGGCACATTGCCTGTAGTCCCAGCTACTTGGGAGACTGAGGCAGGAGGATCCCTTGAGCCCAGGAGTTTGAGGTTGCTGTGAGCTAGGCTGATGCTATGGCACTCTAGCCCGGGCCACAGAATGAGACTCTCTCACAAAAAAAAAAAAAATTAAAAGTAAAAGACCACCCAGTGCACTGAGCAGCATGTGTAGAGTATCCCTGACACACTACAGGATTCAGAGGAGGCCTCCTTATGCTGGGTGGTCAGATACGTGGGGCAGCACACAGACATGGTGAGACCCGATGGGGCTTTGAAGGAAAGCAGGATTCGGGAAGATGAGAGAAAGGGTCAAAACATCCCAGGCAAGGGATTGGTTTGACCAGTAGAGGGAGGTCTGGTCTGCTGGTGTGTGGAGGGCTTAGGGAGGGAGCAGTGGGAGATGGGGCAGGGCAGGCAGGGCTATGCCTGCTGGAGGTGTGCCACAGCATCCCCCAATATGGGGCTTGTGCATGTCACTTATTTGATCTTTGAGATGCTGCAAGTGCTTGGCCCTTTGGATGTGGCACCCTAGCCGGGTCTCTGTAACATGAGGTTGAGTCCTCTAAGACGTAAAAATAGACAAATGGATCTGGGGACCTGCATCTGCAGTCTCTTGGCTCTTCAGAAATCCTCAGGACAAGGTGCACCATGAGCTGAAAGAGCCTGGAGACCCAGATGCAAATCCTCAGGGAGAGACACCCACAGGTGTCATTGCCAGCTTGGAGCAAGTGAAAATCCAGTGGCCAGGTGAAGAGCCCTGGACCCTGGTTCTCTTTCCCACACCCCCAGCACTGACCTCCATGATGTCCTTAATGATGGGGGTCCACCGTGAGAGCTGGTAGGTCTGCTCACTGATGCGCTCCTTCCGTTCCGGCTTGCTCCGGCGACGCAGCGTGGACTGAGTGCAAACACACAACAGGTTAGACTGAGTCAGGGGCCACTTGGGCCCTCGGTCACCCCTGCTGGCCTCTGAAAATCCTCTCAAGGACTCCTTTCAGAGTCAGCATTGGCAAAGAGTACTAAGAGGGGAGGTTTTCCCTGCAATAACCCCAAAAGTGCCACTTTAGGAACCTGGAGCAAACTTATTCTATAAAGTCATGAAAAATGCCAAAATGGGTCAAATATATAAGTGCCATTTAAAAAAAAAACCAGGCAGTTAAAACAATAGTTTGCTGTCTATTATAGGGGCAAATACTACTTGGAGTATGACTTATTCCTTGACTTCTCTTCCATAGCGCAGGTGTGCTGAAGGAATCATCTTCATTCTCATTTTGATCCCTCTTGTGAACAAGGCTCAAAACACCAAACCACTGATGGTTACAGGTCTATGGTCTGGCAGCAACAGAACAAAGCCCTGTCTCTAAGATTAAGAAGCAATTCCAGCTTCACTAGTACTGTGCTGTGACCTGCCTGCCTGCAGAAAGCAAGTACACAGTGGGGCTCCCACAAGTGAGGTTAGCAGTTAGTGTTCTGGAAGGGCTGGAGGGCCCCCACCCAGCCTCTGCTAGAGCATGTCGTGTGGTCCAGGCCTCCCAGACCAGCTCCCCCACTGGCTCTGCCTCAACAACAGTGCAGAGACTCAGAGGCAGCAAAACTGCTTGATTCTACACATCACATTCTCATCCTCACAGAAGATGCTGAGTCTAAGGTGCCCAAAGGTGAGGCCAGACTGATCTTGAAATATCACGGAGGAAACCGGGTTTGGTTTGGTTCAGAGATATGGCTCAGCTTTAATGATTGTGTGTGACTCCCTGCTGTACACGTCTTGGTTCCCGACTTTGTATCTATTTTATTTGCACCTTTACACTTCTATCCCTCTGATTCTGTCTTCTCTTTCTTGATGTTGAGGGTGGGCATATGTGTGTTTCACAAGACACCATACATCAGTCAGAGCAGAAGTAGACAGGACCTGCCAGCCTCCCTCCTGCCACCCCCATATGCAGAGCTGGCCCCTTACATCTGTGACGATGGGCACGCCGAGGTGAGCCATGTTGGTGATGATCTCGCTGTCCTCCGGGGGGATCTGGGCGTGCTGGATCAGTTTGTTCAGGTTTTCCTCAGTGATGCCTGAAGGCACGAGACACCCAGTCAGCACCCCCAGCCATTGAGCATCACATACTCAGAAGCAGAGCCAGGCCCTGAGGGCCTGGATGGTGTGTCCTTTCTCCTTCTCAGGGTTAGTGGAAATTGATCCGTCTACCTTGTCTACTTCATTGTATGATGAGGACAAAATAAGGATTCTGAGTCTACAAGAGCCACTCTGGGCCAGGCATGGTGGTTCACACCTATAATCTTAACACTCTGGGAGGCTGAGGCAGGTGGATCGTTTGAGCTCAGGAGTTTGACACCAGCCTGAGCAAGAGCGAGACCCCGTCTCTACTAAAAAAAAAAAATAGAAAGAAATTCGCTGGACAACTAAAAATATATAGAAAAATTAGCTGGGCACAGTGGCGCATGCCTGTAGTCCCAGCTACTCGGGAGGCTAAGGCAGGAGGATTGCTTGAGCCCAGGAGTTTTGAGGTTGCTGTGAGCTAGGCTGACGCCATGGCACTCTAGCCCAGGCAACATAGTGAGACTCTGTCTCAAAAAAAATAAAAAGATAAAATAAAATAAAAGAGCCACTCTGCCCTGGGCAGTGGCCATCAGCAACTGCCCCTCATGGGTCTGTGTTTCCGTCTGTCCCCACTTCTCAGCAATCCCTGCCCTCCCCCGCGCTGTATCAAAGTCAAATTGGAGAGTCTTATAATCCATCTTTTGCACAATGGACTCGTCCAGGCAACTGTGATATGGCTAACCATCAGTTCTTTAAAGGCAGATGACAAATGTGATGCAAGTTAAAAATAACTGGTGGGTATAGCTTGAGTAAACTGGCCATAAAGCCACATAGCTCTCCCTTGTCTCCCAGCCCTGCCCTCTTCTAGAGATCACATTCCATTTATTAACTCTAGAATTACAAGGGGTATTAAGCTTCTAGTTGCAATTGATTTGACTACATTGCATTTCTCAAAACATAAAGAGTCCCTAGGATCTTCTTTTCCTTCCCCTTTCCACATCTTTTAAATGGGTTTTCCACTTTGTTTTCTCTTAGCTGCCTCATTTTCCCCAAGAGAGGGCAGGCCTATCCCCTCCTCTAGGTCCCACATTCCTACCATTCTTCAAAAAGATGTAAAGAAGGATGATGCGGATTTTGTCATAAGTGCTGACATTGGCATCCAGAAGAATGGGGACGATGGCTCGCATGGGGTCCTTAATCTTCTCTCCCTCGGCATCTGTGCCCATGGCCAGGTCCTGTGGAAAACATACCTTGTTGGCCCCATCTCTGGTGACAGTCTGGAGGGATGGCAGCTCTTAGGAAATTCAGGATCCATGAATGTCTGTGACTGGTTGCTTGGTTGGGGAAGGTCTTAAACAGGTGCTTCTATTCTCATAACGTACTGCAATTAGCATGAGTGTGGTCGGCACGTTTCCTAAAGCATCAGTGGGAGCAGATGGAAGTCCCTGAGTTTCACTTACCAAAATCAGAAACCATGATGATTTATCATCTTGTTTAAAGGTAGGCTGTTCCCTGCAAGTGAGTGTGGTGTACCTGTGCCAATTTCTCAGGTAAAGACTCAATCTTGGTAGGTTCTCTAGAGGGACAAGGCCCCACTGAGGTATCAGAGCTTAAAGTGATGTACCTCCCTCCCATGAAAAGCTTTGGCATTTTAAGGTGCCTCTGCAAGGCTAGATTCTTTCCACTCTGCTTCCCCTGGCATTGAAGGACATGCTTTTTAAGTCTGAACTACTCTAGGCTTTTAACCTTGTTTTTAATCTTTTTACCATGTTTTGTGGATGAGGAGAGAAAAACAAAGGCTCCCAAAGCTGCAATTTCAAACCCCAGTAGATGAAGGAGGTGAAATGAAAGAGAGTGAAGGGACCACAATCTATTGGCCCCACATCATGACTTGGGTGAGACTCAGACCCAGAGAAAACAGCACATTAGTCTCAGCAAACTCAGAACTATTCAGCCTCGTTCTCAGAGACCGACAGCGGCAACTTCCTTTGTAGATCTTAGGAGGTTGCTGGAAGGTTCTCTTTTTTTCTCCCAAGATCCCAGGAGTGCATACAAATTACAATTGAGTCCACAGTCTCTTTCCAGGATGGGTTGGAGGAAGGAGGGACACCTCTGTGGGCTCTTTCACCTCTCAGTCTGACCACCATCCTCAACAGATAGCTGGTCAGCAGGACCTTATTTTAATACTCTCTGTAAGTGCAGTTAACTTTAATGAGTTCAACAATACTTTTGAGCACTTCTGAAAATTTTTTAAACTTCCAAAACAAATCCCAAACTGCACTTTTACTGATCTAGGTATAACCCATTTTTGGATGGTCAAGCTCTCTTAGAGAGGGTACCTTGTGTTTGCTAAAATCACCTATGAAATTGATAGATTTTAGCAGGGTAACTTCCCCCTTTAAAACACTCAATGGCATAGGACAGGGCTTACAAACTTAAGCTGAACCAGTCACACCGAACCAGAGGATTTAACACATTAACTGCCATGTGAGTTGTATTCAACTCACTCTAGTTTTGAGCCCAGGGCCTCATGAAGCATTTGTAACTCACACATTTCTTCACCTTGGGAGCCGCAAAAACTATTTTTCAAGTTGCATATAACTCATGCACAGAAAACAATAAAAATAACAAATTTTTCATTAAATTAGAAAGAATTGTTTTGTTTTCAAAGTTTTTATTCTATTTTTGTAATGTAACACCGTGGCCCCAAGGAAGAAAATTTTTCTTCTGGTGTGGCAGTCAATGTGTGAAATCTTAGCTTCACACTGAGAACCTGAGTTGGTTTTTTCCGTGAAAAGAGACTTTCAGCTAAGGCTGCAGAATGTTTTAACATCCTCTCTTCCCTTAGAAGTTGACCCATAGTTTAGTGACGTTGTAATGCTTGAAGAAAAGAGGGTCAGGACAGTGACTCCATGTGACACCCCTGAACAATGTCAGCACTGATTTTCCTTTTGCAGAGGAAGAAAATAAAACACAGAGAAACAGGCATATCAAATAATCAGTGACAGAGACAGAACTCAAATCCCAAACTCTCACCTCATACTCCTAATTGTGCTCACTGATGCCCTGGGTGAATCCTGACCTTCCCGTGTGCCACCATCTCTCAGCCTCTAGGCCTCCAAAGCTGGGATAGCCACAGCAGGAGGAAACACACTCAGAATATAAAGCTCAGCCAGCCCTGTCAACATAGGGCTCAGAACCCACACATCTTTCTTCAGCCATTCCAGGGAAAACAGAGCCTTTCAAAAGAGTCAGGCATGCAAAATCCAAACGGCACAGCATTCCAGACCAATCTAGTCCCTACCATTGATGGTGGAACCACACTGGCTCCAGAGAGTTGAGACAACACGATTTAGCAGGCATTCTCGTCTCTATTTCTTATGATTCTGCAGGATGTTCAAGGTCAGAGGTTAAAATCCAGCTGGGTAAAAGGGTGTGGCAGAAGATTTGCCATGGCAGAAAGAGAAGGAAAAAGTCCTACCTGCTCCACACGACAGAGCTTGTCTACGGTGCCTTGGTAATGCTTCATGCAGTCCTCGGCAAGGTGCAGGTGGGTGGAGTACTAGGAAAAAAGCACAAGAAGAGTTTGTAACTGAGGAATTAATCAGGATTCATGCAACATCTACCAAACACCTACTGTGTACAGAATACTGCTAGGCACTAGGCACTATCTCATAAAGGAGATAAAACATGTACACAAAGTAGAAAGTGTTACATGTCAGGAGGGCAGGAGAACCACATCCTAAAAGAGTTAGGAGGAAGGAGACATCCTTTATGAGGTTAGGGTGGTACGACAGGTTTACAATGTGTCCACAAATTCTCTGATACTCTTTCTTCCAGGATGTAGAGCTTAATTTTCCTCTCCTTTAGTGTGGGCTGGATTTAGTGACTTGCTTCTAACAAACAACATGGAGGAAATAATGCTATGTGACGTCCAAGATCAGGCATGTGACTTCCTCCTGGTGCTCTCTGGCTCTTAGATCACTCACTCTGGGGGAAGTCAATGGCCATGTTGTGAGGACACTGAAGTAGCCCGTGGAGGGGCCCACGGGGTGAGGAACAGAGGCCTCCTGCCAATAGCAGGGGAACAGGAAGGATAAAGAAAAAGAAAGATGAAGAGGAGAAAAGAAAGTGATAAGAAACAAGCTGTCTATCCCAGGCTTTCACTTCTTTGCTAATAAAAATTGAAGACGACTAAAATTCTGTGGATTTCAATGAAGAGTAGCAGGGCTTTGTAAAGTCCTTCTGCAGCTGTTTATACTCACGACTCAAATAGATGATTTGGGATCACCATACCTTGCTAAGCTCTTTCTGGTACTGGGGCATCTTCTTTAACATCTGGGACAGGTCCCGCATGGTGGTCTGTAAGGGAAACAAAAGCACATGGCGTCACTCCAGCAGCCCTGAGCTAATAAGGCTTCATAAGCCTTGTGGGCGCAGGACAGGACAGTCATGCACACTAGACTTCCCACATGCATTCCCTGTAACTGTCAGAATGAATCTGTGAAACACAAGATCATGTGTGTTTAGATTTTCAGGCCTGTGGCTGAAAAAATTTTTGATCCAAACACCATGATTGCCTTACATGTGGGGAACTGAACTCTGAAGTCTCTAGCAAGTATGTTTTATTCTATTCTTACTGGACTAGAAAGTTGTTGAGAGCCTAATTCTTTTTTTTTTTTTCTTTATTTTAGCATGTTATGGGGTACAGATGTTTAGGTTATGTATGTTGCCCTTCCCCCCCACCCCTTAAGTCCGAGTTTCAAATACGCCCATTCTTCGGGTGGAGAGCCTAATTCTTGTTAAGGAAAACAGATTTTTCTTCTATACACTGTTTTCCTGCATCCACACATCAAGCAGTCTTGGTAACAAGTCTGCATTTCCTGCTGGCAGAAAAGCTGTCGTTGCATAGACAGGTAGAACACAGGGAGGTTAAAGAAGGCTAGAATCTGCATTGTGACAGGTGAAATGGGTCTATTTACTTTCAATGTAATCCATCTAATCCCATTCGTTTACCCAACAAGAATGTATTGAATTGCTATTACATGCCAGGCACTATTAGGTGCTGGAGATATAAGGACAAAAAGTAAAAAAAAAAAAAAAAAAGAATTTCTCCTTCATGGAGCTTAACATCTAGCAGAGTAGCCAAACAAGGCATTGTAAGAGAGATTAGGGCTCTTTGAGGGGATTCACCAGATAGTGTGGGTGCACAGGGCAAAAGCACCTAGCGAGTGAAGGGAGGGGGCCAGGGAATGTTTCCCAAGGACACAATGCCTAAGCCAAAGAACCTGGCAAGGCCTGGGGCTGGGGCATGGAGGCTGGGCAAGGAGGGAGGCAGAGGTGAGACCAAAGAGGTGCCTGGGGGCCCTGAGGACCTTAGCCTTGGAAGTAGTGGCAGGGTGTGTGTGTGACCGGAACCAGAAGTGACTAAATGGTTTTAAGCATGGGAGTAATGCAACCAGAGCTGCATCTTGGCAAGTCCACCTCCCCTGATTAAGATGGGTATGCCACCTCCGGTAAACAGTTGGGAAAAGGAGAGGCCTGGGTAAGGTAGGCTATGAATTCTAACTCCACCACAAGCTAAAAAAAGGTCTTACAGTTCTTCTGGCTTAAAATGAATCATGATCCACGACAGTTAACATTAATCCTCAGAGTAACAAAAAGCAGCTCTCTAAAATATCGAAAGATGGGGGCTCCAGATCTGAATCTTAAATGTAAAAAGAAGACGAAATGATACTAAATGGGGAGAGAAATATAACCTCACTCACTAGTCCTATACCTAGGCGATTTCTTCCTGCTCTCAGTGAGAAAAAGCATTTGGGCATTGGCATGGGTTTACCTTATCTCCAGTATTCATTCTCTTGCTAGAAGAAAAATCTTTCAGAGACCGGGTGACTTCCCTGGAAAATAAAAGGAGGCAGCCAAGTTCCACAGCAGCACCAAGGCCTTGCTATGGATGCTACGTAAGCCATGCAGTGTTCTTCCTTTAGAACATGGAATATGTGATGACTTTTCCTGCCAGTAAGTACGCATTTAAAGTGATTTTCTAAGAGAAGAGAGATACATTGTTTTTGTAATTAATATTCTAAACCAGTGGTCTCCAGACTGGGGTGTACCAGCAGATGATTCAAGAGAAAAGAGGAAGAAAATATTGGAACACCTATTTATGTTTATTCTATCTTGTTCTTTTCAAATTTGTTTGAATGTACCTAATTTATGTTTGAAAAATACACAAATATATATGTATGCTGTAAATACATATATTAGTACAATAAAACATATATTTAATTCCTAAGTACATTTAATTATGGGTGGGTTACTTTTTGAAGTTGAATGGTCAAAAGAGTTTAGAGACCTCTTCTCTCAATAGCAGAACTAACTAGGGCTGTGTCATTTTCTCACTCTTCCTTATGAATTTCCTGAGGATATCACCAACTCAATGTAGCATAATGTGTCTTTCTGAATAAGCAGATTTGTTATCTACTTTTAAAGGTCTTAAAACAATGTTTAAATATTAGAAACATTCTGAAACATTTTCAGGGCAAGGTATTGTTCAGTATATAGACAACAGCTCTAGCTCAGAAACTGTAGGTGAGACACAGGAAAGACTGCATACCGGCTATAGAAAACAAAGTCCACGTGGATGCAGTGGTGTCTGGATCTTTCAATGGAATAAACTGGCTTTCAATGTTTATGCTTATTAAGCATTTTTCTGACAGAGCTACACATGCTTTCCAAGAATTCTAAAAGCAACCCTAACACAGAATGGATTTCCCAATTTCATGAAGCTGGAGTAGCTCAAGCTCAGAGAACAGAAGGGATTTATCACTACTGGTTAGCACACTGGTGACTCTGTCAAGGAAACAAAATCACCCTCTGATGAGCTTCCCCAGGTCGCCTAGAGTTCACCCATCGTCAACAACAACTGAGAAGGGTGAGGAAGGGGCTCTTACTGGGACACCTCCGCGATGTGCTTGTGGCGCAGCGCTATCCACAGGTCGTCGTCCTCGTCCAGCAGCACTTCCTTCACCCGTGCCTCTCCGATGCCGCTTGTCTCATACCTAGAGATGAGACCGGACTCGGGTGAAGCACACCGTCCCCACAACATTCATAAGACCCCCTTATAACAACAGCAGGTCACAGCCCTCAGCTCCATCTGATGTGTTGGTCAGTCTGCTGCGTCAGCACTGACATGAGCTACAAGTCCTTGGGCAGGAGAGACTCAAAGCTCTAATCAAAGGCAACCAACTTGAAATTCTGTCTTAAAATCTTCAGGGTTGGCTGATAAAAGCTCCCCACCTGAGCCACCTGGTACAGAGCAAGCAGTCAGGTTGTGCCTGGGTCTATGGTTACTTACAGGGGAAAGGCAAGAATCCTATTTGTCTCTCTCTGGGAAGGGACTGGGATGCCATCCTCAGATGTGTGGTACCTAAAGAGCTTCTGGCAGCTACCTGCAATAGACCCTCAGCATACTGTTACATGTGAAGTCATGAACAGCTGGAGGAAGCAAGAATTACAGGCACCAATGGGGAGAATAGCTGATATTCACTCATATTTTTAGAATCTTCATTTTGAAACCACTATCTTTATGATCAATATTATAAAATAAATAACATGAGAACAACATCTGTTCTCATACGTTTGGTTCCAAAAAAAGAAAAACTGGTTTTTAGAAACTGAGTTTCTGATGATTGTTACCAAGAAAAATATTTTTTATAATGAGTAAAACAGTTTTTCTGCAAAGAAACTCTTGTTGGTATATTTTATCATCGTATTTCTTTTCTCTTTTTAGAGATAGGGTCCTGCTCTGTCACCCAAGCTGGAGTGCAGTGGTGTGATCATAGCTCACTGCAGCCTCTAACTTCTGGGCTCAAGTGATCCTCTTGCCTCAGCCTCCGAAGTAGCTGGGACTATAGGCAAGCACCATCATGCCTGACTAATTTTTTTTTATTTTTTGTAGAGACAGGGTCTCATTATGTTGCCCAGGCAGGTCTCAAACTCCTGGGCTCAAGGGATCCTCCTGCCTCCACCTCCCAAATGCTCAGATTACAGGTGTGACACACCTCACCCAGCCTATCATCGTATTTCATGATAATTAAGTTTCAACTCTAAGATACGCACACACACAAAAATCAACATACTAACATATCCAAGCAGGCCATGAACTGAGATGACTGTGAGCTGGGAGCTAAAGATCTAAAGTTCTTATCCTCCCTAAAAGGGGCATGAGTTCCCATCTAGAAATGCCATGTGGATTCGGAGAACTCACAGGAAAACTTAGAGACTTTTTCTCAAGACTGCATCAATGCACCCACTTTTCCTAGCTTTGTTAACCTAGAGGTGTTTTTGGTTCATTTGCAAAGCTGCAGTCCCTCTGGGGTTTGTGACATTATACTTACTTGTATACATCATTTTCAATAGGCAGCAGATCGTAACTCATAGCCTGAAAAGTCAACTCATGAAGCACGGGGGAGCTGGGGTCAAAGCCTCGGTCCAGGATCAGGAGCTGGGAGCGTGCCTTGTCTGGGCCCTGAGGGGAAACAGGCAGATGCCTCACCACCCACCCCGACAACTCCAACTTCTCCACCTACTGGAAGCCCTCTTGTAAAAGAGGGCAGCTGGAAGCAAACTCTGAGGTGTAAACCTACTAAAACAGCACTGCATAGCCTATATACTGCTTGATAAGAACACCAATAAATACCACGTGAGACTTCAGTGTTTCTATTTTATAACAAGAGCACTTTGAAGCAGATCTGAAACTGTACTAGGAGCTAAAGTGAGTTTAAGTAGAAGAGCACTGCCCAGTTCAACTACAAACGGGATGACCAACCACTCAGTGTGCCTGGGGCCGAAGGTGTTCTCAGGATCCTGGACTTTCAGTTTGAAAACCAAGGTAGTGATGGAACAGCTCTGTTATCTTGATTGTAGTGGTGGTTACACTCATCTATATATGTGATATAATTGCACAGAACTGTACACACACAGAGTACATTGAAAAACTAGTAAAATCTGAATGGAGTCTGGAGATGCTACCAGTGTCAACTTTCTGGTTTTGCTATTGTACTCCTGTGGGTTTCCCAGGACCTGGGACGTTCAGAGCTGAAACTGGGAAACAGAAACAGGTTGGTCACCCCAGCTACACTGAACAACCCTGCCCCAGGGGCTTTGGGCATTTCACTCGAGCCAATCTTCAGGAACAGCAGCACCCATGTTTGCTCTATGGGCAACAGAACTGAGCTGTCCTCTGCACTGTCACACAAACGGTATCCCTTGGTAAGAGTACCATGTGGTCAAAGCCAGACTTACCTCCCCCATTGTTGGGTCATCAGCTTTATAGGCATCGAGCTTGTCCTGAATTAGCTGAGCCAGCAAGGCATTGTCCTTGTATTCCCTGACAAAGGAGGAGTGACACAGCGTGAACCACCCATGCACTCAAACAATGGCACTGACTGCCCCTGGGACAGTACAGGGAAGGTTAGGGGAGCCATGAGCATCATCTGTGTTGGTTACAATGAGAATACGTTTATATATCCCATGTAATTAAAAAGGAAAAGTTAAATAAAATACTTAGCTCAGTGCCTTGAACATAAATGATTTCTTGTACTTTTTTTTTAATCATCTAAATGGAAACTGAAGTAGTCTTTCCAAGCAGCTTCTGATAAACCACTACCCTTCAGCAGAGGCCCTGATGGTTCACCCTTCTCCCAGGACCAGGGCTCTGAGCCTGACCCATATGACTCTCACTCCCCTCAATTCAAATTCCCTTGGGTCTTGTTTTGTTAGCAAGTGACATCCCATCTGGCACAACCAGGACAATATGAGTGAGACCCTTTGAACCTTTCCCCATGGCTAAGTCTGACGGTGCTCCCTGGGCCCCACCTGTCTGGACGTGATGGGCTGGTGCTGCCCGCCACCTGGCCAACCGTGGCACCCAGCCTGGGCTCCCACTCTTGGCCAGGAGATACCACCTGGGCCCCATTTCTTAAGTGCCACCAGGCTTTTGTCAGTGAGTACCAACAATGGAGGGAGGCCAGGCTCTGGAGCAGCCACAGGGAAGTGTTTTTCTACAGCCATGAGTTCCCACAGGCAATGAGGCAATGGGCCGGGTACAGCACATGATCCCTGGCATCACCATGCTACCGGTCACCTCAGCTTGATACCTTGGCAGCCGTAACCCTTCATGCCCTACCCCCAACCTGTCTGCAGTTCCCAAGTTGGGCCAAGTCCACCTTTGCACTCTTGTGGATCCCATCCTCACCTGTCCAGCCCATTCCCATCACTCCATGTCCAGGCTCTGGGCTCCCCGTGCAGTGTTAACCACTGAAGGACATAATCCCAAACCTGGCATTCGGGGCCTCCTCAATCTCATCTCACTCCACTGCTCTACACATATACTGTGCTGGAATACTAGTCCTTGCGAAATTGCCCTTTGCTTTTCTAACCCCAAGCTTCGCTCATACCAATGGCAAGAGCCAAATGTCCACACAAAATGCCGTCCCCTCCCTCCTCCACTGGTCTGTTGTCACTTCTATTTCTTTTTTTAAGAGATGGGGGTCTCACTCTGCTCAGGCTGGTTTCGAACTCCTGACCTCAAGCAATTCTACTGTCTCAGCCTCCCAGAGTGTTAGGATTACAGGTGTCAACCACCATGCCCAGCCTATTGTCACCTCTAATCTGAAGCTATTACTCATCCTCAGCTGAAGGGCCCTCCCCCTACTTTGGGTACCCCAAGGCACTTGGCCTGGCCTGTCTCAGAGAGTCAAGGTCGCAGGTACACATCTCTCACGCACACAGATGTAGGGATGCCTGTCTTACCAACCCTCTCAGATCAGGGGCTGTGTCTTCAGTTTCGAGTCCCCCAGCACTCAGCACATAGCAAGCAAATGAGGAGTGAATGGCTTTATAAAGTCTGAGGAATATATCTTTCAGGGAATTATTCTCTTTGTAGTTTATCTTACTCTGAAGTATCTTTTGCAAAGATGATGTTTGTTTTTAAAGGTTAGGAAGATATTAAAAACTGTATGAAAACTGATAGCAGTTACATAGGGGTTCACATTTTAGTTATTTAATACTTAATGTATATATTTATGCTCTTTTTTGTATATATTATCATATTTCACTATAAAATTTAAAAGATTAATAAAACCATTAAAAGAATAATTTTAAGTGAGGGACTCTCAAATCTTGACTCTCTTGAGATAACTGTCAGAGGAACCTTAAGGCCAAAAGAAGGGTCGGGCCAGCTCCACCACTCGGGGGACACATGGGATGCCACCTGAGGCAGACTGGTACACTGCCTTACCCCCGATACCGTACTGCGGGGTACTCCTTCAGGGTGGCACAGAGAGTTGCAATCTGCTCTGCCAGACGTTCCAGTATGGGGTTCTTCATCTGAGCCTTGTGGGGACTGTAGAAGCTTTGGAAAGAGTCAGCAGAGTCCAAGGAATACACCTGAGGAGAAGAAAATATATATAGTGAACTGCTGGAGTATTCTCCAACCCTGGTAGTGAGTCTACAGGACATGTTCCTGTTTATTCTACAAATATGTGCTGGGTGCCTGCCACATGCCAGGCAATGTGCTAAACATTTGGGAACTATTAGTGACCAAAACATCCCTGTTCTTAAGAGTTTGCCATCAAGTAGGAGAAAGCAGACAATAAACATAATGAAAAGCAAATTGTGTGGTATTGAGAAATGGGTAAGTATATGAGAAAGTAACAGAGCAGGGGAAGAATGCCCAGGTGGGCTGGATAGGGAGGACACTAGGACTCGTTAAGAAGGTGATTCCGAGCAAGGGCTTGAGGGAGGTAAGGCATTTATCACCAGCAGGGGACTTCCATGGAGAGGGAATGGGCAGTGCCAGGGACCTCAGGTGAGTGTGTGCCTAGGGTGTGTGGTGAACAGTGATGAGGCCGGGAGCATAGCAGGAGAGGAGATTAGTGTATGATTACACAGGCCATTGTAAGCTTAATTTTTAATAAATAAGGTACAAGCTAGATACTGTGCTGTGACTATGAGCAAATAAAGGAGATTTTTATAGATTTAATAATATCCTGTCCTCAGTAGTATGTTCTAAGTATTTTTCCTTTCTTCTTTTTTTTGGAAAGTTCTGAAAGTTTAAAATTCTCTCTTAAACTACTGAGTCTACCAGCTATCAGTATTCTCTCAAGTTCTCATTTATGTAAACTACCTTGATATCTAAAAAACCTGATATTTTAAAAAAAGAGTCTATTATAATACTTTCTTAAAATTTCTGAAATATAATATGGTTGGATATGTTAAAGGTGGATTTTGTTCAATCCAGGTGGGGATGGAACACACAGAGGGAAAAAAAAAATTCTGCCCTCAAGAAGAAAACAGGTTTTAGGTCCAGTGAGAAGGGAAAGAGACTATCTTTAATGTTCACAGTATCTTTTCCATCCCTCCTTTTCTAAGAATAGGTCACTCTCTGGAGTCTAGAGGCTGATCTATAAAGACCCAACATTCCACGATAATCTTTTAGCTCCACAAAATGCATAAAAGTCCTGTTATTTTTGCTTCTTTGTTAGGAAAAGATATTTAACAAATTTTAAAATACTAAGATAAATTTTGTATATTCTCTCACAATCAGCTTCACCTTTACTGGTTTAACAACTTTGTTTTTTTCCAAAGGGAGAGCTTTGCTGCCGAGGCATTTGGCACTGGAAGTGTTAACACCTAATGACGAAGGCACCATCTGTTCCCTGAGCACATGACAAGCTGAGGTTATCTCCACCTAAAAACAGCCTCCTTTGCAGCAGATGGGATGTTTCTGGTCCCTGCCCTCTCTCCTTCCGTGCTCTTTTTGGATTGGCTACTTTTGATTACTCAAGGAATCAGCCGATAAGAGTCAACACCAAGAGCAAGGATGAAATACACACAAAGGAAGGCACAATGGCTGATAGAAAGTCAGAAATAACTGGAGGGTAAGGTGAAGGCAGACCCTACAGAATACTATTTCCATTAAATAAACATCCACTTACAACACCTCATTTGGCAATTGAGAATATGATACTTTCCCTCCCCCACTCTCTTTATTACACCCTGCCCCACCCTCTCAGGGTTCCTGATAGAATAACTATGATATAGACTTTCTATGCACCCCCTACTCAGCCTCACCTGGGATTCATATGGGAGAAATGCAATGTTGATTTCCGTCAGAGTTTTGATGACTTTTGCTGCTCGGGATTTTACCAGCTCATTAAACAGGGCATCTGGACAAGCTGCAAGAATGACAAAAGGCAGTTGGCTTTCCTGTCCATTTGCTGGTTCATTTAACAGCTGCACATGTCCAGTGGATTCTTTATTTTATTAGAATTTTTTTTCAGACAGAGTCATGCTCTGTTGCCCCAGGTAGAGTGCAATGGCATCATTATAACTCACTGCCACCTCCAACTCCTGAGCTCAAGTGATCCTCCTGCCTCAGCCTCCCGAGTAGCTGGGACTACAGGCACACACCACCATGCTCAGCTAAGTTTTTTCCATTTTTAGTAGAGATGGGGTCTCGCTCTTGCTCAGGCTGGTCTCAAACTCCTGACCTCAAGTGATTCTCTCGCCTTGGCCTCCCAGAGTGCTAGGATTACAGGTGTGAGCCACCGTGTCCAGCCTTTATTAGGATTTTTAGAAGGCAACTAGAAAGTTCGTCCCATCCTAAAATACCTAATATCTCTACAGTGTAAGAGGAATATAAAATCACTTGCATGGCCTTCGACATATAACAGAAACAAATGGCAATAAAGATTGAGATACTGGGAGCTAATCAAAACTATTTTCTGATACCAAGGAAAGGAAGGACAAAAACCAGAAGAGATTAAGAAGGAATAAGGAAAAGGCCTTTAATATAAACAAACACCACACATCTAACACATTAATGATAAATGAAATAAAACAGAAAAATAAAATTGCTGGGCAATGTGACACAGGCATTTCTTCCAGAACCTCTAAGAAGCTCAGCTACAGAGGAGGCCCACGTGGCGGGGGAACCATGATTTCTAGTGATGCTCCTGGACCAAACAAATGGCTTCAGGTTCCCAGAAACATGTTATTGGATCAGTATTATTAACGCCATCTACCTGCTCTCTTGGTCACGCATATTCAAATACTATAAAATTATTCTTTGCTAGACCCTTTCCATTTTCTCAGTGCTGAGTGTTGTAGGGGGGTCATCCCTAGAGAGAAGAACACCGGTGCATTCTTATTGTTCTATACTATATCTATCCAGGTTAACTCATCTCTCTGCTTCTCCACTAGGATCAATGCACAGAACTCCCATGAAATAAGAAAACTAATTCCAGGGCAATGATTCAGGTTCTATATAATAGAAATACCACTGAATTGGAATATCTTTGCAGTTGAGAACTTGATGGAAATACCCTATAGTTTATAGTGATATCTGGAAGTCTATACAATGAAACAAGCATCAGGAAGATTCTTCTCAGCATCAGCCCTTTAGTCCTTAGCAGAGGTGCCTGGTGTGCTATTTTTCAGCAGGAAGGACTGCAAGGTCTAGTAGGTTTGTATTTGTGTGCATTTATTTTTGTGTCTTATGCAATGTATCTTCTGAAGTGAAAACAGAAGACCAGGACAAGCGTGGTAATAACCCATTTCTTCCTTATTGACCCGTTTTGGTTTTGCTCAGCCCAGCTGTGCAGAACTGCTAACCTGGCCCAGGATGGGGCAGCTCACAGCTGTACTTACAGTCAGTGAAGAAGACATGTGCAGCCCGATATTTAGCAGTTGGTGGGTCCTTAAAATCACTGATGAGAGAGTGGACAGACTGTGGACAGAGAAAAAAAGAGGACCTGAACCCAAATCTAGAAGCAAAAAGGACTTGTATTTAAACTGAGTTAAATCCAAGCTATCTTCAAGCTACTTGCACAAAATAAAAGAGGATTTTTTGATGTATAATTCTAATACTCATATTCAGCCATAACCAAGTTCTGAGGACTTAAAATTAGGATTATTTCAGAGTTTAAATGAACAAAAGCCTCCTTAGCTCATTCCAGAATGACAGTAGTAGTTCTTTGGAGCCACTGTAATGGATGTCTAAGAAGAGACCCACAAAAAAGAAAACTGGCCAGAAAACTTTCAGGAGATTCATATTGATGAAGTTCTGACAACTTAGTTGCATCTGCAGAAACTCATAAGCCAGTTTTCAAAAGTGAAAAGGAAGTGTGAAAATTGGAGGAAATTTTTATAAATTAAGAGACCTAAGACAATTATTAATGTCACCCAAGGAGGTGACCTTATTTGGAAGGTAATTTGAACCAACCCCCCAAAATTATAAGACAGGTAAATTTGAACACTAACTGAATGGTGATGAAATAAACCTGAAAGCATCAAATACCAAAGTCTGGAGGTGGAGAGCTGATTAGATAGAGTGGATCTCCTACCTGAAGAGGTAATGCGAGGGGGAAAACTAGAATGACCCAGGGCCACGGAACACAGGCTCTGGCTTTCTGCACAGCAGTTGAATTTCAGAAGGCTTAATACTCTTCACTTCTCACTGCACACAACATCCCTCCCCCAGCCCGTTTGTAGAATGCACACTTAAACAGAGCAGTGTGTTAAATGTGTGCTTAACCTAGAAATGTCAGACACTTTGTGCTACATAGATCCCAAGTGAGCACATCTAACCTTAGCCAAAGTTCTTCTCTGATGGAAGATTTACCTTCTCAGATGGAGTGATGAGATACACAGCCTCCAGGCTGGGGAGGGGTTCTCTGCGCTTGTTGATATCTTCCACAACTGGACGACAAAACACCCCACAGTGAATAAGAAAACATGACTGATGATCATGAAACCAGAAGCAATATAGATAAGGTACCTTCAAACTGGCACAAATATCTACAGTGGGGGAAAAGAATCATTTACCCCTTCCCTAAGGTTACCACATTCCTCGGGAGTGAAATCCACTGTCTCACTATGCTTAAGATGTTAGGAAAGGCTGAAATCTTATCACGCTAAATATTTCCCACTTCCCATTTCAGTTTAAGTAAATTCTTTAATCTCTTCTAAGAGAGAATGGAAAATGCTACCTAATTCTGTCAAGAATGTGTTCCTTTGCCTCTTCCTTCAGCTTTTTCTCATCTGTCCTAAATAATCCCAATTCCTTTAGAATTTCCATGTTGGGTTTATTTATCAAGAATTGGATAGTTTTATCACTTTCCTGTATATCAAATGAAGACATTCCAAGAATATCCTCTATACGATACTGCTTCTACTACTTCTCTCAATAGTTCAAAGATTAAATATTATATTTTGTTAAAGCAGACCATGGGCTTTTGGTTTCCTTGTTTCTTTTATGGTTATGTCAGCAACTTCACCTGGAAAAGAACAGCTTTGGGGAGAATTATCATCTTACTAGTCACCTGTCATGCTTAGAATGTGTTATCCATGCTGCACTGACTTCTGGCATGGAGGGGGGCAGTACAATCATACAGGTGCCATTCTTCCTATGCAGATGATTTAAGTAAATAAAAGCATCCCTTTAGAAGTATCCCTTATAACATTTAGAAAGACTTTTACCTTGAATAATGTTCAAATTAATATCAAAATCTCCCAACCAACTTTACTAGTGGTTATAGATTTTTTAATTTCATAGGCCACTAATGCTTCCCCCAAAAATGTTTTGGGGCTTCAACGTAGGACTGCTAACTTTTTAATTTTGCTTTTTTAGGGTACATTTTAAGAAACATAAAGACATTTCTCATAAACCACTTTTGTGGGTAGGAAAGAGTTTGTGTGTAGTGGGGGAATGTGAATCCTCATCTCCCATAGGAAGTCAATAGATAACATCTAATGTTGATGAATCATGAGATAATAGTATAAGCATTTATCTAGAAATATTAAAAAGATAACCAGAAGAAAGCAAGACCCCAGGGGATGAGGAGACAGGAGTGGGACAGGGTATTGCTGCTTCTTTATTGGAAGCTTGTTAGCTCCATTTGGTTTTTTTCTTTTTCTTTTTTTTTTTTTTGCTGTGATAGAGAAAAACATAGTTTAAAAAATTCAATGAAGAAAGTAACTTTGTAAACTCAAAATAGGGGCAAGCCCAGTCTTAAAACTGACTTAGATCACTGAATGCCATAAAAGTCACAGCAAAAATTGTGTACTCCATTTACAGGACTATGCTTCTGGTGATAAATAAACTGAATTTGTTTTTTAAAATGAAGGAATCACATCTAAGGTGTGATTGTACCAAACAAAAAAATAGACAAATAGATCAATGGAACAGAATAGAGAGCCCAGAAATCAGCCCGCATGAAAATAGTCAGCTGATATTTGGGCAAAGGCAATACAATGGAGAAAAGATCAGCTTTTCAACAAATGATGCTGAAACAACTGGAATTCCACATGCAACAAAATGAATCTAGGTACATACCTTACACCCTTCACAAATATTCTTATCTTTTTAATTTTATTTTTGAAGATTTCCTCACTGACCTGTGACATAAATATTAACTCAAAATGGATCATAGACCTAAATATAAAATGCAAAACTATAAAACTCCTGGAGTATAAAAGAAAACCTAGATAACCTTGGGTTTGGTGATAACTTTTTAGATATGACTATTAGCCAAAATATACAAAAAACTCTTAAAACTCAATAATAAGAAAACAAATGATCCAATTAAAAAATGGGCCAAAGACCTTACAGACACGTCAAAGATGGCAAATAAGCACATGAAGATGTTCCACCTCATATGTCATCAGGGAAATGCAAATTAAAACAACAATAAGATACTACTACACGCTGTTAGAACAGCTAAAATCCAGAACACCGACACCATCAAATGTTGGTGAGGATATGGAGCAAAAGGAACTCTGATTCATTGCTGGTGGGAACGCAAAATGGTACAGCCGCTTTGGAGGACAGTTTGCCAGTTTCTTATAAAACTAAACATACGCTTACTATATGAATCAGCAATTCTGCTCCTTGGTATTTCCCCAAAGGAGTTGAAAACTTATGTCCACACAAAAACCTGCACGTGGATGCTTATAGCAGCTTTATTCATAATTGCTCAAACTTGGAAGCAACCAAGATGTCCTTCAATAGGTGAATGGATAAAACAAACTCTGGTATATCCAGACAATGGAATACTATTTGCCACTAAAAAAAATGAGCTATTGAGCCATGAAAAGACACAAAGGAAACTTAAATACATATTACTAAGTGAAAGAAGCCAATCTGAAAAGGTTACATACTGTATGATTCCAAATGACACTGGAAAAGGCAAAACTATGGAGACAATGAAAAGATCAGTGGTTGTCAGGAATTAGGGGGAAAGAAAGAATGAACAAGCAGAGCACAGAGGACTTTTAGGGCAGTGAAACTACTCTGTATGCTACTGTAATGGTGGATACATATCATTATACATTTGTTCAAATCCATAAAATATACTCCAAGAGTGAACCCTAATGTATGGTCTTTGGGTGATAAGGATGTGTCAACGTAGGTTCATCGGCTATAACAAAGGTACCATTCTGGTGAGGGAGACTGATAAAATGGGGGAGGCTATGCATGTGTGAGGGCAGAAGGTGTATGGGAAATCTCTGTACCTTCCTCAATTTTGCTATGAACCTAAAACTGCTTTAAAAAATAAAAACTACTTCTTAAAAATGAAGAAATCACATCCAAGCTGTGACTATACAAAAATAAAATTTAACATATATATTTTTTCACATAGAATTTAATCAACAGGAAAATCCACAATATATTATCGCCATATTTTCACAATTTAAGGACATCTTAACACCAAATAGTAGGGAAGACATAATGTTACAATAAAGAGCAGACCTTAAAATTAAATAATTAAATTCAATTTGCTTAATGAAAAACTCAACTCTCCTCATTTTTTCTCCTTTAACTATGGTATGGTAATAATTCTGACAAAGACCAGCAACAGTCTATGAGCCACACATTATATAAAGTTGTCCCCAGGGAAAAAAATTGAGAGGTATATTGCAACAGATATATTCCACCCAAAGTTAACTTTCTTATTTGAAGTAATACCTCAAAAGAGATTGTTTTTCAATCAGTGCTGTCTCAATAATGAAAATACATAATCCTTCTCGAAAGAAGCCTCCAAGTAAGACTAGAGTTGCACACAAATGTGAGTAAAAGCCCTGGAATAGGAGCCAGAAGGTCCGAGTCCTAAGTCTCAGGTGTGACACTGGCTAGGGACTTTGAGCAGGTGATGTAACCTTTTTGAAAAACCATTTATTGTGAAATTATAACATAAATTTCAAAGAGTGAATAAAATAAAAATATATAACTATAGCACAAATGTCCATATAAGCATCACCCCAGTTAAGAAACAGAACCCAGTCAGCACCACAGAAGTGCCCTCGCCCCAGCCCACACTCCCCTTCTTCATCCCAATTTCCTCTCTTCCCTCCAAAGAGAACCATCATCCTGACTTAAATGGTGAGCTCTTCTTTTGGCAGTTTTACCATCTACATCTGCATTCCAAAACAATGCAGCTTAGCTCTGCCTGGTTTTGAACTTTATAGAAATGAAAGCATACTATAAGTAAGTACTCTTTTGTATCTTGCTTCTTTCGCTCGTATTCATTCATGCTACTGTGAGTAGTCAGAGTCTGTCTACTCTCATTGCTGCACAGTATTCTGCCGTGTAATTACACCACAATTTACTTAACCTTTCTGTTATTGATGGATGTTTTGGTTATTGTGTATCTGTGGTTCCTATGAACAACATTCTTGCACATGTATCCTAGGCACACAAACCTGAGGTTGTCTAGGACACACACCTAACTACAGACTTGCTGGCTCATAGGCCACACACACCCTCAACTTTACTAGACATTGCTAAGTGTTTTTCAAAGTTGCTGCATTAACTGACATTCTGTCATATTTCCATTTCTCTACCTCTTCATCATCACTTGGCATTATCAGAGGTTAAATATTCTAATCTGCTGAGTCTACAGCAATATCTAACTCAGGTTCAAATTGCACTTCTCTGACCACTAGTGACTGTGGGCAATTTTCATATATTTATTGACCACTTGGACCTCTTCCTTTGTTAAATGTCTATTCAGAACTTTTTTCTATTGGGTGGGATAACTTTTTTCTTGATTTAACCTTTCTTCCAGCATTCCTCTAGCAGATATTTAATGAGCATCTAACACTGCATTAGGTGCTAGGGATTCAGTGATAAACAAGATGGCCTCAGGTCTCCCTCAGGAGCTTACAGTCTTACCATATTGGTTGCTGGAAGAATCTAAAGTTAAAGGTAATAATAACCAATAGGAAAGAGCAAAGCCCACCACAGAGAGAAGGCACGAGTACTACTCAGGTGCAGAGAGAACACTATGCTCACTTGTTATGCCCTCGGTCATGATGTCTGTCATCTTGCAGCAGGAGGAGAGCATCCTCATGCTTAACTGATCCACCACCAACACCTGAAAGGAAAGAGAACAGTTTATGGCTGATAGTATCTGCTGGGATTCTCTCGTTGGCTTACTGAGTCTTCAAAAAGAGCTCCAGAAATGCAGAATACTGAAGAAACAATACTTCCTGTGGACCACAAGCCCACTGAGATACATGCTTGCTTTTACCTCCTACCCCTAAACCTAACCTTGTAGGAGTTAGAGTTTCCTCTCACTGAATTGACTTAATTTTACAAATTTTAAAAAATTTGTTTTTATTTTCCATGATAAAGAAAATACTCATTAAAATGCAAAAGAAGAAAGGAAAAAATCATCTACAGCACCAACACTCGGAGACAGTCATATTAGTGAGTATTTTTTGACGGCATAAACTTGTTTTTAAAGGGAGAATATGAGCGTCCATACATATGGTATGGCACATGAAGACATCAGGATTTGTACCTTCCCCAGCACACACATCATATGGAATCACAGTATACCTCAGTCCAAACTGGAAGAAAAAGAACAGTCCCGGTCTGAAAGCTTCACACCTGCAATTCGTCAGCTAACGTTTCCTATCTCCATTCAGCCCACAATGGAGAAAGGAAGCCAGCAGTTAAAATAAGGCCATTTCTCTTCTCCTTCTTTAATGATACAAACCAAGAAGGAGACACAGGAGTAGACAGCCTGGAGCAGAAAGCTTTCTGCTGCAGTACAAGGGACAATTGGTTTTCATTATACAAGGTAGCTTACTTGAGATTAGTTTAAAATTCAGATGTCTACAAATCCATTCTGATGGGAAAGGCAAGAGAGAAGCACGTGCCTAAAGAGCTCCCACCTTCTGCGTGGTGAGGACGGATGTGCTGGCTAAAACACAAGGCCAGGGGTGAGACTGCAAAATCCTCCTGTACCAATCAGCTCTGTTGTCCCCAGACCCAGTGAACTTGAAATTGCATGAGCTCTCAACTTCAGGAAAACTCGAGGGCAAGAATGGTTAGTATAAATCCGCGGTCTCCAGCCTTTTTGGCATCAGGGACTAGTTTCACAGAAGACAATTTTTCCACTGACTGGGCGGGGGAAGGCGGGAGGCAGAGCTCAGGCGGTGATGCAAGCGATGGGGAGCGGTTATATAGATGAAGCTTTACAATTTTTCCACAGACGGGGGTGAGGGGGATGGGGAGGTACACCATGGACTAGTACCGGTCCACGGCTCAGGCTGAGGACCACAGGTATAAATGCTTCAACGATATATGAGTAAATTCAAGTAAAACTGCACGCTCTCCTGGCCAGTATTATACCCAGCACCAGCCAGCAAGGGGCCCTTAAAATGCTGACTCTTCAGGCATGGAGTGGCACTCGCCACTCCTGCACCACCCACTCCAGGAACCTAGGCCATGTTCAATCTGATTGGTTTAAATACAAGTTTCATGTACATTACAGTTTCCAGCACTGCTCTCAACATTCTATGAATAAACAAGCTTACTGGTTTTGTCTCACATAGTTACAGGTAGATGGACAGACTAGCTGAGGGTTTTTCAAACGGTTGCATGGGCTCCATGGAGATGCTTTATGGCTAAGAAGGGTCTCTTCTTCCTCTCCCATGACAAGCAGAATAATTATACCCTCTTCTGCTTTACGAAATGGGCTCCAGGTAAGACTTTGTTTGAATAAAAGAGTTCTACTGCTAACTAACCTACCAAGTGATCTTTAAAATAAGCTTTATGACCAAGAGACTTCTTAACCAAGATCATATAAAATGTGTGGCAGAGCAGATCACCTTTCTCCAGTCCAGAAGTGTTTTGTACTCTCTAGACACAGCAAAGGCCTTCATTCCTAACACCTTTCCTCCAACTCCATCCCTTCTTGTGTTTTCAACATTAACTCACCTTTAAGGCCATTAATTGCCCTCTTCTACCTACCTTCCACTCCCCCTTCTTCTTGACCTTCTTTATCACATCATGCATGATCTCTAAAAAAGGAGAAAGAAAGAAAGTTAGTTTAATGTAACTTCAAGGACTTGCACACCTGCCTGTTAGACTAGGACGTCTCCCTTTTTGGGCTTTGTTCTTCGAGTCATGCAGTTCAGTTAATCTGTTTACTGAGCCATAATCAACCACCATAAAGATAGTCTCTTCCTTGTCTCCTTAATTCAGTAGTTCTCAACCTTTGTGGTCTCAGGACTTCTTTATATTCTTAAAAATTGAGGACCCCAAAGAAAGTTTATATGGGCAAGTATCTACTGATATTTATCATATTAGAAATTAAATTCAGAAATTTTTAAAATATTTACTAATTCATTTATAACAAATCCATTGTATATTAACAAATAGTATTTTAATGAAAAATAACTATTTTTCATAATAAAGAATTTTTAGGGAGAATATTGGCATTGTTTGACATTTTTGCAACCCTCCTTAATGTCTGGCTTCACAGAAGACAGCTGGATTCTCCTATCTGCTTCTGTCCTGAATCATACAGCATCTGGAAAATCTACTGTGCCTTCATGAGAGAATGAGAGTGAAAAGGCAAATTACATCTTAGTCGTAGTATGAAGATAGTTCTGACCTCATGAATCCACAAAAGGGTTTTGGATTTGAGAACCATTGCCTCAAGTTAAGTAAGTAAAAGGCTTTGACAATGCCTCAGGCCACATGAGTCCCCCTCAAGCTCCAAAAATAGATGTGAGGAGCACTTGTGATTATTTTCCCAACCCTGAGCACATATGTAGAACACTCTCATCCAAAAACCACCATTCTAGTAAGCCCCATTTTCTATAACACCACAAACACACACACACACCCCTAACTAGCCATGGAAACTTCACAGAAAATACTGCTCTTGCTATTCTACAAACTCAGGCAATACACATGCCTGGACTGACTCAAGGGCCCATAGCTGTAGTCAGCAAGCGTGTTTCAAACACTTAGGTCATACTCTAGGGCACATGGTTCCTAACTCTGCTTTAACTATCTTCAGTAATCTGATATGTCATAAAATTGTCTAAAGTTTTTAAGAACTTTTTTCCTGGTTATTGGAAAAACCACACACCCACTGCAGTAAACTCGGAAAACACAGAATAGTATAAAGAAGAAAATTCCATGTATAACTTGTATACTTAAAAACAATCAGAAAGAAAAATCATCTGTAATCCTACCAACTTGAAATGCATAATTATCATCTTAGTTTATTTCCTACTGTCTTTTCCTATGCACTTGTACATAGCTAAGACCATGCTGTTTATATAATTATATATTATACTTTTTTTTTCATTTAACATACTTATTTCCCTATTAAAATTAAAATGCTTCCTAGGATTTTAAATGCCTGCATAATAGTCCATAGTTTGGTCAACAATATTCCCAATAGCCATTTAGCATACTTCCCATGTTTCAGCGCAGTGAAAAACTAGAAACAAATATGCCCAAAAATAGAGCAGTGGTTAAGGAAATTAGGTTACATTTGTATAATGGAATACCACATACTCATTAAAAATGATATGGGAACATGTATTCATTCATTCTTTCATTCAATAAACTCTTCGGTAACCTCTGTCTCCCAGCCATTGTACTAAGCACCAGGCATGAACTATGCAACTCAGCTCCTGTGGAGCTTACACTTGAGTAAAGGAAGCAGCCACTAAACGAAAAGAGCAGTCACAGCTTCTCCTAAGTGCTCTGAAGTAAATAAATAAGGTGTTACAATAGAAACACAGATATGGACAGCTCTCTTAAATAGAGAATTAGGCAAGGCCACTCTGAGGAAGTTGGACCTGAAGAGGAAGAAGCCAGCCAAGAAATGGGGAAAGGAGAAGGAAGAAGAATAAAGGCTTGAAGTGGACACGGAAATGAGCTTGACATTTTCTGGGAACTGGAGATGGCATAAGATGAGGGTGGAGGCCAGATCACACAGGGCCTTGTGGTCCTTGATAAGGATATGACTTTATGTGAAGGGCACTGGAAAGCCAGGGAAGGCAGGGACGTCACTGATGTGCTGTGGAGAGAGGACATGGAGGGGCAACAACAGAAACAGGGAGCAGAGTCAGGAAGCCTCTGCAACAGTCCAGGCACGACTGGTGGCTGTAGAGATGGCAAGGGACTGATGGATTTGATACACAAGGTGGAGGTAAACCCACAGGGATAGAGATAGAGAAGGGAAGGGGAGGGGAGGGGAGAAAAAAGAAAAGAAACATAGATAACTCCTAGATTTTTAGTTTAAGCAAAGAAGCTGATGTAGAGACATTTAGAGAAATTTAGAGGGTTCTATTTCGGTTACTTTAAGATTGAAATGGCCAAGAGACATCCAAGGGGAGATGTTGAGTAAGTAGTTGGAGGTTAATTATCAACTGGAGCTGGAAGAATGACCTTGGTTGGAATTAAAAATTGGAGAGTTATCATCAAATAGAAGTAGGAGATAAGGTTTGAGAAAATAACTCTGATACGATCTGCAAGGTGAGGATGGAAACACGAACATGGTCTTTGTTGACCTTGACAAGTATTTCAGTGAGACAATAAGGATGAAGCCAGACTGAAATGGGAGATGAGGAAGAGAAGACAGACTATCTCAATAACTCTTTTGAGAAGTTCTGCTAAAAAGGTAGCAGAGAAAAGGCATGAAAACTAATAGGGTAGACAGAGATGTGAAAGCAAGGTAGGGTTTGTTCTTAAAGATGTGAGAGAGATCAAAGCATTTCTATGATATTGGCAATAAACCAAGAGAAGGGGAGACTGATGATGCAGGAGAGAGGACAGATCCCGGAAAGACTGAGGTCCCTGAGGGGAAGGGGTATGATCCAAGACACAAGAGCAGAGCCTGATCTGGAACAGGAGGCAGGGCACCACATGGCACCCTTTGGGAAGGAGGGAGGGGATGTGCAGATGGGCTTGGAGACATGGCTGCAGAAGTGAGGGGCTTCCTGGTTGGAGATGAAGTCATTGGCTAAGAGTGGGGTACAGGTGTTGTGTACGACGGTTTGAAGAAAGAAGGTATCACATTATCTTCCTAGAGATTGGGAAAGTGCATTTACTAAGAAAATGTTTTAGCATTTACAGATAGTACTAAGGGCTAATTTGAGGTTCATGACCATGAATTTAAAGTGAAACCAGGCAGCTTGTGTATGTTTTTTTTCCCCCAACAATGTTCAGCTGTCCAGGTGCAAAAAAAGAAAGGTTGGTTCCAACTAAGGATAGAGTTTTCTCAAATGAGTATAAATGAGGGAGAAAATGTTCAAACTATATGGCTAAGGGGGAAAAAGCATACTACTACTATTTTTTTAAAGCAGATATGCACAGGAAAATTAGAAAAACATACCAATATGTTATTTTTGTGCTGTAAAATTATAATTAATCTTTACTTGCCAATTTGTGCCTTCTAATGTTGACCCAAGTTTCTGCATAGGAACAATGCTCTAAAAATAATGTGTCAGTGTACATCTTTGCGCCCAGGGCTTTTCTTTGCACAAATTATTCTGTTAGGAGAGCTTTTGGGGTATGTATTAAACAGGTAAAAAGTATAAATGTTCTGTGCTCTTGATAAACTCTACCAAATTATTTCCCAAAAACATAACTCTTAAGCTGGGCGCAGTGGCTCACACCTGTAATCCTAGCACTCTGGGAGGTCGAGGCAGGAGGATTGCTCGAGCTCAGGAGTTCAAGACCAGGCTCAGCAAGAGTGAAACCCTGTCTCTACTATAAATAGAAAGAAATTAGCCAAACAACTAAAAATAGAAAAAATTAGCCAGGCACAGTGGTGCATGCCTGTAGTCCCAGCTACTCGGGAAGCTGAGGCAGGAGGATCGCCTGAGCCCAGGACTTTGAGGTTGCTATGAGGTAGGCTGACGCCATGGCACTGTAGTCCAGGCAAGAGAGTGAGACTGTCTCAAAAAAATAAAATAAAATAAACAAAACAAAAAAAAACAAACAAAAAAAGTAACTCTTCCCCTCACCAATACTGTATGATTGTTCAAATTAACATAGTACTGACAATTTTAATTTTTGCTACAATGATAGCAGAAAACAGTATATTTCACTATCTTTATTTGAATTTAATGTATTACTGAGAATGAATATATTTTCTTGCCACTAAAAATTAACTTAGAGTCACTGAAAAAATATTTCATTCTAGTCATCTTTTGATGGGGGGAATGCAGAGATATAATCAGAAAATCAAACTAAGTATAACAAGTGTTAAAAGACATATATAAATAACTGCTGCAGCTGCAACCCTTCCTAAGTTATTTCCTTTCCAAAATTCTCAGGGCATATGTTCATCCTGGGTATTGTTAACAGACAATTCTAACCCTGCCCTACATTTTTCTAATCCAACACCAAAAAGGAAACAAGGATTAGAGCCCATTTTAGCATTAAGAATCAAGTAGCTTGAGCTACCTCATCACAAATAATCCCTGGCAATCACATTTCATCTCCTTCATAAGTCCTCTTTATGTGGAGAGAAACAATAAAGGCTTCTAGAACTAGTTCAGCCAGGAGATCTTATTTTTGCACCCCAAACCATGTGTATCTACAGCCAAAATATCTGCTCTACACCCCCTGCCCCCAGCTTATGTAGATGTGTTCAAAAGACCAAGCATAGCTTTGATTTCTCCATGATACTGAGGGTCCTAGTGGGTCCTGCTTCTCTCATGGCCAAATGGGTAAGAAAGTAGGTTCCTTCTCAACCATCTCCTCTAGGTCCTGGGCGACTCCCCAATTCAGCAAATCCCTCCTACATCCTGAGAAAAACACCAGGCGGTCTAAGATTATCTGGGACATCTTCAGATACACTCAGTATTTCAACTGGAGTCCCAAAATGTGAGCTCTAGGGATTGTTACAGGGACTGCCTAAGGCCTGTGGCTCCCCATGAAGCCCCATCCTCATGGCCCAGGGATTCCCAACTACCCTCCAAGTGACATATGCCAGATACGCTGAGCCCAGGGCATGCCTAATCACTTGAAATAGCATGACTAATATTAG